CTTCCAAACTGAATTAAGACCACACGTGAAGATAGAATATCCCTGCAAAGTTGCAGCTTTGCAACCTGCTCGACAGGCGAAATATCTGCTTCGTTACAAATGTTTTTGAAGTGCCGTAAATCGTTGCGCAAGTGTAGATCAAAACTCAATTTAGATATACTATTTTCCATATGGACGATAAATATCCTGTCAAAATTCCTATACTGGCTATTTTTCGAGTTGACGCAGTGCCGATAGCGAACTTTGGTGCAGTCTGCGTACAACACAAGCATATGCTGTAGCTGAATGGAAAACTTCAGGACATATGCACAGAGGATATCCCTGCGAAGTTTCAGCTTTTTGCCTTGTCTGGTACCTGGAACGGTTTCCCACCAAAGGAATTTGCATATTTTTTCAGGGGTCCATATACGCGTGGTCTGAGCGCACATGAGCGATGATTTTAAAACGAGGGACGGGAGGGCAGTTGGGTGGGAATAACACCCCAGAAATTTCAGTCTCCCAGCTTTCCTGGTTTTTGAGTTGGAAGTGGATGAAAAAGTTCACTCGATGTCGTGCAGACACACATACACGAACAACCTCTTGACAGTATGCGTTTTTGCTCACTGTGATGGCGCTATAGCGTTGCACAGCAAAAACGCATAAAAACTGAAGCTGTGGCGGAAAGCGGTTCCGGACTACAAATATTATGAAGCTAAGATATCATTTAAATCGTCCCTGCTTATGTGCGACTTTTGTGCGACCTAAAACTTTCAAATTTAACTGTTGCGTGTGCCTGCCTCATGTCAAGCAGATTTTTAGCGAGGGCCGGTTTGAGAGCCAGTTAAATTAGTTGGAATCTACAAGGATACTCTTTTGTCAGTATACGCTGTGGAGATTTCAAAGTCAACTTTGAGGCACGTTTATATTTCGAAATCTCGCTTATGAGCAATTTATTTTTATATTTCGCATAAAAAATAAGTGAAGCTATTTAAAAAGCAGTAGTCTTTTTTACGCAGCTTTTTATGTACAGCCGCCTGATTCACCTCTTGCTTGTCGGCAAAAAGATGCTTGTAAACGGTCTGCTTGTCCTTTGGTCCCTCAATGAATTTCTCTTTTTCGCATTGATTTTTGGTGCTTCGCTAGCACGAAATCCTTACCATTCAGCTGCTTCCTTGAACCAACCATTTCTGGAGGAAGCAGCCATTGGTACATGCTATCAGACGAGAGAACCTTTTCTCGAGAGTTGATAGAGAAGCGCCGAAACATAAAGCAAATATTTCATCAGTTTGTAAGTAGTTCTTTTTGACCCCAATTCCTGCCACAATGATATCACAGATTATTTGGTTTTCAGTGTTCTGAACCAATGACAGCATTTCACGGCCATGCACTCCCTCCAGTGTAGCCTCTTCCTTCGACTCCATGCGTGGTTCCTTGCACTTTCTCTCGGTTATCAATGTTGAACGAACAACACATACCGGCAGCTGAATTTTATCGTCGGAATCTACCGCCGTGCTGTATCAATTTCATTTCTCCTGAAGGCAAAAAACTTTTCACGGAGAGTTTATTGAAAGGTTGAAAATTGATTCGTTACACATCAGCGAACAACAATACACTAAATGCATTAGCATTCTTGCGCCAGGAAATTGCTTGTTTTTTCTTATAATAATTAATTTGTTAGTACAACATGACTGAGTACTAATTTATATAGATTTGTAAATTACCTGTAAAACGCATTTACCGAGAGAATTACTGAGACAGTAATCTTTTCGGGAGACAACGAATGCCAAGATCGCCAAGAGATTAGTCACCGCAGTACCGACCAAAGCTATTAGAAGAGCACAAATTGCCAGGCACAGAACGCCGAATTACATTTTTGTGCAATTCAGGAATTCAGTTTTCCCCGACCGATTAAGGGATTCATTTTTCCCGACCACAAATAATTTTTCAGGTTCTCCTTCTTTTTGGTGCCGGTATACTTAGCCGATTTTTGTAACCTATTTTCTCATCAGAGTATCATTAAGCGCTCTGGTTTTTCCTAGCTGTTAGCACTTTTTTTAATTTTTCAGTTCGTTTGTGCTGTACTTTCGTTTATGCTCTTTGTACTTTTGTTTTCCATTTTTCCAGTTTTAATTCTTTCACTTTTTTCACAGTTTGCTTTTTCCTTTGAAATACTGTTTTTTCTCAATTTTTTTTTTTGTGCAAATAAATAGTTTGCCAGTTAGTTCCCTCTTGCTCGCTTCTAGGTAGAAGCAAAATGAAACTTGTTATTCCATGGATAATGCTACAGTATCAGTTTACTACGGAAACGAATGAACGAATCGTATAAGATTTGATTATCCCACTGGCAGCGTCGAAACCTTGATAGTCAAAATATCCTTAGTTGCAAAAGGCTTAGAATATGTTTTGTTAAAAAAAAAATTAGTTATGTGAAGCATAGTTTGAGGTGGTTCATATTTTTAACTTCTTTCATGAACAATTCGCAGAGGAATTATTTTTGTAATTCGTTGCAGGGCATGCAAACATTTATTTTCGATTAGCATCGCAGTTTCTCACGCAGGATGAACCGGCATACTGCGGTCTTTCTACCCTAGGTATGCCTAGCTACCTCTTCTTCCCTCAACAAAACCATATTGTCCAAAGCCAAAAAAAAAATTCCGGATTAAACAAAGATTTAGCAGCTTTGTCTGAAACATCGGAAAATTTGGGAAAACTTACGAAACACTAAAAACTAAATTTGAGTTATAACAGTTTCTAGAGTGCGGAAACGCAAAACAAGGAGAAATAATGCTGTTGTTTAGTAATGGTGTTGAATGCGCTTGAGGTGGATCCAGGTCGGGTCTGGAAGTCACCGTGGCGATTTTACCATGAAAGCATGCTTGACTGTTGCTTATCGCTAGATGAAATCAAAACAAAAGGAATAACACTGCCCCAATTTACGTGCTTAGCCGAATGCAATAAGCTGATCATCGATCTGAAGTACGCGGAATCCACACCAGGTATTTGTCTTTCTGCTGATTTGCGATTTTTATGCTTTTTTGCTATAGCGTATAAGCAAAAATGCATGTTATCGAGAGGTCGTCAGTGTGTGTGTGTTTAAAAGCGAGTGAATTTTGGCACTCACTTTCAACTCAGCAATCAGTAAGAGTGGGAGGCTGAAATTTTGGGATCGTATTTCTTCCCCTATGTCACCATACCGTTTTAAATCATCGCTCATACGCGCCTAGTTTTCGCATACAGACCGCCGAAAAAATATGGAAACTTTTCGGTGAGAGCCGATTTCGTGATTCAGACAGAATGGGAAGTTGAAACTTTGTAAGGATATTCGTCGTGCATTTGTGGGCGCAAAATTTCAAATTCAGCGCGTACGGTCATGTCAAAGTTTGCAGTTAACATTATGCGAACTCGAAAACTAGCCATGAAACAACAGCTGAAATTTTGTCAGAATATTCATTGTTCAAATCGAATAATAAATTGAGTTTCGATTTGCACTTGTGCTACGAATTAGGGCACTTCAAAGATATTTTTAGCAAAATGGGTCTTTTGCTTAACAGACAAACTGTGAGGCTGAGACTTCGCAAGGACATTCTTTATTCACATATGGCCTTAATTCAGTGTGGAGGCGAATTTCCGCGTACGCGTCATAACAAACAATCAATTTTTTTATCAAACTCAAAAGCGAATGCATTTTGCAGATTTCATATCCCTCTTCGGACTTCCTTCAAATTTATATTTTCTCAATAACGAGCACTCATCGGAAAAACGATCGAGCTTCATGGAAAAACTGATATTCATGCATGCTGGAGATCGATTCGACCCCATAATGCAACACCCTCATCCCAGCCGACGCCTTTTCCCCCTGTACGCGGGAAGAAGCCAAAAAACAGCCATTATACTGTTAAACTACAGCACAGGAGCCACTCCTGTTGTTAGCGATCTGCAAGTTCAGTGCAAGAACTTATGATCGCACCGGCAAGCTTGGTGCGTTGCAGTTTGGGTTACAAATTTGTTAGTCTTTTCGATCTGTCTTCGTTGTCAAATGTTATTGTCGTGAATTTGTACTTTCAGAGTTTTTGGCAACATTTCGAGAAACAGTAAAGCGATGCATGGCAGCAGAGGATACAATCCTTGTGGTGAGCTACAATCGAAAAATACTCAGTCAGACTGGTACAGGTACGCGTTTTGCTTGCTGAACAACTCCATATAAAAAAGTCAGTCTTCTATTATAAAGTATAGGCGGAAGCGCTGTTCTATGTGCTGCTATAGCGGCTGCTTAGCAAAACAAGACTGCAAAACTGCAATGCGCATTTGTTCAGCTCTCAGGGGATTTTTTGCGATTTTATTAATTTTTTTCCCAAGCTATGAGCGTTTATAAAAAGATCACAGACAACCCGTGTCTAAGCTTGCAATGTTAATTTAATTTCGAAACTAATTCTGGATTAGTCTGGAATTTTGAAAATTTTATCTACGGCTTTGCATAGCTACAAACCAATTTTAACTTTCCTGCGCTCATAAGTTGGGACCAAATGCAAGATCATTTTTGTGCTTTTCGTCTGCATTTGAATGCAGAGACGCGAAAAAAGGGGCGAAGCCATGTCCGTATGTCTATTTACATAACACTCCTGAACTAGCAAAGCTGGAAAGCTAAAATTTGGAAGCTCTGCTACCATCTACTTGCAATCCAAAAACGAGTATCAACACTCACTTCCATCTTTAAGTTGGCGCAGGAACTGTAAAAGTCGTAACTGTAGGTCCTGACTCTAAGCCAGTGCAGCGTGATATTTGTTGCACTGTCCCAAATCTTTAGTTACAACTAGGCTGCACATCACCACCCAGCGAATAGGTTTTTAGGAGCTTGAAGGGAAACCTGTAAGTTTTGCTGCGTCTGCGTATCATGGGGACTGCAGCAGCTTGTTAGAAGAAAGCAAAACCGAACTTTTCCTATATGTACCCTTCCATTTGTCTTTAGAATGAAAAGACATGCAAATATAGGAATTTAATTTTTTTTTTGATTTATGTAGGAGGAGTAACTTGAAGTGAGCTTTAGGATTTTTATCCATCTCTACTTGTAGACCAAAATTCTAGCTATTTTTATAACCACTAAAAAAATTTGACTTCCGAACTCAAAAATACGGTCAAAATTTTAGAATCTCAAGACGAAACTTCGAAGTCTCGAAGTTTTAAAATCTGAAAATTCCAGTCAAAATCTCAAAATCTTAGAAGGATTGAGATGAAATTCGATTCTGAAATTCATTTTGTGTTAAGCTTCATTTGAAAACCAAATTCTGGTAATGGATGCAACCCCAGAGCTGATTCATCAAGGTTTTTGAGTTACTATGCTTTGAAAACAAAGTCTGAGTTAGCATCATAGCAACAACTAACTTCAGAGAAGGCGCGATGCTGTTGGGTACGCCTCATTGCAAGATTTGTTTTCAAATGTATTTCCAGGTCATTTTTCGCCTTTGGGTGCTTATCACGAGGAAAGTGATCAAGTGCTCATCCTGGATGTCGCACGATTCAAATATCCACCACACTGGGTGAAACTATCGACTGTACGGGATGCGATGCTCAGCATTGATCCAACCACCAAGAAACCTCGAGGTACACCTTTCTGTCATGATTCTTCACAGCTGGACAAGCAAGCAGTGGCCAGATCTTGCTATGCACTTTTGTGTCTCCGATGAGTCAAGAGCTGGTAATGTTTTTATTGTCGATTCTGAGCTGGCATTCTCAAAACACGTAGTACGCATGCATATTATTTCTGACTGCGGTAATATTCCCAGTGGAGACAATAAGTTATACAAGTACCATTCAACAATTTTCCCTCCGTTTTGCTTTGTTTTACTTGATGTCTCTCATCCGTGTTATGTCATCAGTTCAGTTCTTCACTTTGAAACTGATTTTCTTGGAAACTGACTGATTTTCTTGGATACGGAGCTACCTTTAGCGGCTTACCATGTAGCTACTCCCAATTTGTGGTCGAAGAGTAGCATTGCTAAAGAAATATTTTACTTTTTACACTGAAATGGATTCGTAATAGGAAAATGCGCCGAAGAAAGTGATAAGCATTAATTTATAAAGAATACATGTAATATGTTACGAGAAATGTAAATTTTGTTTAAGAGACGCAAAATTGGACGGCACGTATGTAAGTAAATATACAAACCTAGACTGGAACGCACCAGGCCGTCCGGTGCGACAATGCGTCTTTGCACTAAACTCGCAGATCGCGATTAGCAGAAATGATCCCTACGCTGTAGCCTAACGCTTGGGCTAATATTGGCCGTGTTTTGATCCTTACCGGCATGCAGGAGG